GTTATAGCCTATTCAGATGCAGATTGGGCAGGCTGTCCAGATACATCACGTTCCACGACGGGCTTTGCTGTATTTTTGGGTCCCAACCTGGTCTCTTGGAAGTCCAAAAAGCAGCCCATTGTTTCCAAGTCATCTACAGAAGCCGAGTATCGTGCCGTTGCATATACGGTTCAGGATACATTGCATATTCGTTCAATTCTTTATGAGCTCGGCTTTCCAGTTACCATTCCAGTAAAGCTCTTTTGTGATAAAATCTCTGTTTCATATTTGACTGCAAATCCAGTTCAGCATGCACGTAGCAAGCATATCCAGATTGATTATCATTTTGTCAGAGAACGTGTGGCGCATGGAGACTTAGTCGTGAAGTACATCTCTACACAACTGCAGTTAGCTGACATTTTTACTAAAAGTCTTTCTAGTCAGCAGTTTCATTTTTTAAAAGACAACCTGCGAGTTGTATCTCCCGCACAGTTTGAGGGGGTGTAATAGAATATTATTAGGAAGATTTGTTTCCTAGTTTGTTTTAAACTCTTCTATTATAAATATAGAGGCCAGGACTCCTGTTGGAGTACCTTTCCCCATTATCTCACATTAAATAGCATAGTATCATCAGCAAAGAGCTAAACCCTAATTCCAAATCCATAACCCCAAATTCTAAGGGTGTTAAGTCATCTGATACGAGCATATAAATAAATATTCAAACTTATAGTTTTGGACTACCGAATCTATTAAGGATATTTTAAAATCTAATTTCAAGACATAACTCAGAAGATGTCATCATTCTATGCGTCCATAGAACTACTGAACTAGGATGATATGAGGTGAATGAGTAATGAACTACTGATGATTAAAAATACTCCCTCCGTCCCAATTTACTTAGCCATATTTGACTTTTCCAATCAAAGATGGTAAACTTTGACCAATTATTTAAACCAATTATTTTTAACAAAGAACATTTTCATATCATTTTCATATTATTAATACTTTCTCTATATAAACATATAATCGGTCAAAGTTAGACTCCATTGACTTCAAAAGTCAAGATTGGCCAAGTAAAATGGGACGGAGGGAGTATATTACTGATATACTAAACATGAATTACTACTAATAGGTTGTTTATCTAGCCATATTTTATTTGTTGTTCCTATCAAGAGATAGGATAACAAAAGCAAGTATTCTAAGCATAATCATTGAGAAATCACTTCTATTTCTTCATTGTGGAATTCTATCGAGATCACACATTCCAAATGCTATAACTTCAATAAGAGGAACAGGTTCAACATGACCCTTCTGAAGTCAGTTATTTTTGCTACATCCTTGAGTTCTCTTAAGATGGCAGCATCCTAGCACAATACCTTCATAAAAACTAACTCTAAAAGAACATGATTTTTTAGAAGTTATATTCACCAAACGTAATTCTTTATAATTTTTGAAATTGTTTTCATCACGTAGAAAACTATAACAATAACACAAGTCTGAAATACCTTATCTTTAATACACGTTTCACAAATACGGAGTAAGAAGTAATACATTGTTAACAATATACTAAATATTGGACTTAGCAGATAAATGTTGTTCTTTTTTCAGCTTAGTTTTTTGACCACACTGCTTTTCAATTTTTTGAGATGTTTCACTCTAATCATTTTCTTTTAAATTAAACATAAACCCTCATATGGTATGTAATTAAACGGGAACAAAGAAGACCCATTTTCAATTTCAGTATTCTGTTTTTCAAAAGCAGACCAATTTTTAAGCTATGATGTGAAATGTATTATAAAGATTTGAATTCGATGGAGACACGCATGCTAGATAAATACAAGTCTTCACCACTTCACCTATATGTTGATGTATCGGTTCACGTGTATCGGTTCATCCTACGCCGCAGCTCCACTCTCTCGATTCAATTCAGTCGATATTACACCCAAATTATCTTAAGTTCCCGACCTTATTGAAGGAAATTATCGGAGAAATACTGTAAGTTCCTTGCATCACGATGACTTGTTCAGCAATATTTGAGATTTAATGCAACCTAAACCATGAACTTCTCTTATGAAATCGGTAAATCTTTGCTAGATATTATAGATGAAGTGGTGAAGACTTAAATTTATCTAGCATGCGTGTCTTCATCGAATTCAAATCTTTATAATACATTTCACATCATAGCTTAAAAATTGGTCTGCTTCTGAAAAACAGAATACTGAAATTTAAAGTGGGTCTTCTTTGTTCCCGATTAATTACCTTAAACAATACCAAGATGTAATCATCTGCATGGCTGGCAGTGCAAAAAAAAATGGCTGAATATTGCCCACTTTTGTCTTTGACCCAAAACTAAAATACAATTGCAGTACATAAATAGTAGTTACTCCGTAACACTCCTGCTACTTTTTAGAATACAATCAAAGGAAAAAGGGTTATTTAATCTATTAAAACATAGTATTAAAATGGTATATTGTGGGGACAGAATAATAAGATAGTATTAAAAGTAGTCTTAAGGAACTGGGGGAGAAGGAATGGCGGTTTTACTCTTCCGCTGTTAGCAGCAGCAGTTTTCTGGCTGGTAATAGTAGTAAGTTTGGCTGCAAAGAGGAGTTATAGGTTCAGAGATTCTATGGCTTGGTCAAGGTTACCAATGGAGGTTCCTAATGCCTTATCTAAGTTCAACAACTATCAGTTTTCATCCAACAAAGTTTAATATTGTAAAGAGAAGACAGTACAATGTGATTGATATCTTTGCAATTTGGCTGTTTTTAAGCCAAAGTAATTGAAGGTATGCAACGAAACAATTCAAACTAATGGTTGGTATTTAAAATAATAAAAAAAAAGTAGTCTGACTAATACTCTAATCCGTAAGATAAAAGTTCCATTGAACCCTCCAAACACAACGCTGTAGGATATGCTTTTCTACAATCATAACAAGTTTTCAGCATGTACAAAAGCATAGTAAACAATAACTAAGTCACAATAACATAGGTTTTACAGCCCTCGGGGCTCACTTTGTTAGCTAAAAATGAACTAAATGACGAAAAAATTGAGTACAATAATCCCAAAGCAAATCTTGTTAACAAAACAGGGGCTTGAATTGTTTTTTTAAAACAGCATATGGTAGAAACAAATTGGAGGTCAAATTGCTCTTACTTCCAACTAACAAAAGCAGTTGTTTATGCTTCCCCACCTATTTTCTTCAATCTTTACCCCAGATGGTTCAACTGTAAACCCCCATACATTCTGCCACAAATTTAAATCCTTTCCCTATTGGTCTCTACTCTTCACACGCAAGGAAAACTTTAAAGGGTCAAACAAGAAAAATATGTTTCTTTTCATACGATCATCATAATCATAATTAAGAATGAATGAGTAATCCTTGTTTGCAATAACAGAAGAAGGAACAAATGCATAAAAAATCCCATGTTCCTTCCAAATAACAATCATACTTTTTCCATTCAATTCCAAAACTAGAAGAAATAGAAATACAGTTATGGGAAACTGATGGCCTAAGCCTGTAGAACACCTTCCCAACACCAAACACCCCAGCCCAGGTAGTCCAAACTCCAAATTAGCAGAATAAATTAGTCACACAACTAGTTTCATGGGTTCTGTTATTAGAAATTAACAACTAGTTTAGTAGGGTGAATTTGACTACAAATTGCAGAAACTCAAATAAAGTAAATTATTAAAACTTATTTAAACTATTAAATTGTATTGCAGAAACTCAAATAAGAATTTGACTACATATTAAAACTACTTAAAACCCCATAAATAAAGTAAAAACTCAAATAACTACTAATCGTAGACTACTACATCAGAAAAATCCAGAAAAAAAAGCTCAATTGGCCTTGAAAATGGTAGAAGAGTCACATGGGTATGAATTTCAGGCTTCAATTGCTTTCAGGTTTCCAGTCGAATTAGAATTTTCAACAAGGTAAACTGAAAATGTCATTTAATTTCACTGATTACCTTCAACTCGTTGACAGAACACGAGCCAACTGAAGAATTGGGAGATTCCGTGATGTCGGGTGCAGCTTCTACCAGCGACGTCCTGTTTGGTGTATCTGGAGCTTGGTTGACATGTGAAGCTACGAGATGTAGATCGTCGGAGAAGATGTGTGATGTCTTTGGGGAAGCAAGCGTGCGACTTTAATAGGAAGGGAGAAGGCGATGGTAAAGATGGTAGGCGGAGGAAGGTAGAGCGCACTTTTAAGCATGAAAGCAGGGGCGGGCGCATTCAGGATTGGCCAAAATTTAATTGAATTAAAAAAAAATAGTGTAACAACAAAATCAAAGACAAAAATAAACATTATAGAATTAAAAGTTTTCATCAAATCAAGTACAAAAACACCACAATTTTACAATTGTTCTCTACATGTTTTCAACGATTGATATCATTTGATACTGACATAATTGTCGATTTTTTAGAAGATGTCGTTTTCTACATAAACAATAAGTCCATCATTGAGCCAGTCATCACTCATCCGGTTGCTCAACCTATCCTTCAGGATTAGCGATTGCAACGGGAAGAATCAATGTCAATAACTTGTAAACTAAAGGAAACACCTTATGCTTCTTAGTTTCTACCAACTTCAACAGGGTCATAGTATCTCAATATCTCTTCATTACCTTTATTGAAAATAATACTCCGTACATTAATACTAATTAACTTAATAGTAGATTAATAATAACAAATCACAACCAAATTCATACTACTATAATTTTATAAATGTTGATTACAAGTTTACAAATAATAATCAAATTCATACTCCATTCGGGTTTTATTTAAGTTTACACTTTGACTTCACGTTTTTTTGACACTGTTTGGCACTATTTTACGCTGTTTGGTGTGACGAAAATAAGGAAGTGTAAAGTTTAATATGGGATGGTCGAAAAGGGAAAGTGTAAAGTTAATTAATAAGCAAGTTTACAAATAATAATCAAATTCATAATTAGGAAGTTGTAATTTTATCTTCAATTAAAAGCACAATAAACCTAAAGAATTGAAAACTTACCTCTTAGCCACTTAATCGTGACTTAGGCAGCAGACCAGCAGTTCTCAGAATCTCAAGCCTCCGCTTACCCCTGAAGAGCAGCTCTCACGCCTCTCAGTTTACCACGGAAGACCAATTAGAGAAGAAAGCCAGAAACCAAAACACTCTTCACCGTTGTGCGACGTCCGAGTGCTGCGTGCGACCAGAAAGACAGCAACTTACGATCGATGAGGGTTGCTGCAATTGGTAGGTTGGAAATTGGGATTTGGCCTTTGGGGGGTTGAGGAAGCGGAAAGATGCGGACTGATAGTCTGCATCCTCTTCCCCTGCGACAGTCTTGGAGTTGCGTAACGGTTTTTCTGATTTTGGGCCATTTTCCGATTTTGGGCTTCGCTAGAGGCCTGCAGCGCTGGGAGAGACTCGTGCAGAGTGCAAGGGATAAATGGACTAACGGACCTTCTATAAACATTTTTAAAAAATTGAGGATGGCCCTAATTTTTAAACATATACTCCCTGGCCATATGCCCAATCCCTCCCTGGCCATAGGCCCAATCTGCCCCTGAATTGAACACAAGTAGATTTTTATTTTTATTTTTCAATTTCAAATTTAAAATATATTTTTGATGTTTTTTTTGAATTTTATGTTGTCTATTTAAAGTTAATAAGGGTAAATTTGCTCCTTTATAAGAAGAACATGATGATATTCTTGCACCTTTTAAAATTTCAGGAGTATATATCAACTTCCGCATAAACTTCAGACATATACTTGGTCCAAAAATAGAACGAGTATATATTTATTCTCACACCTACTAGTATATTATAAGGTACATTTGTACCTTTTCCCATTTTTCTAACTTTGGGGTGCGACAAACAAGTAAATTGTAGGTCGGTGACATCAATGATGATCTCCCAATGAGGAGGTCCGATGTCGCAAGTTCGAGTCTCATCCTAATCAAGGATGCTGACATTATCTTGAATAAATACTATAATAGGTTTAGAAGAATATTCCCAAAAAATGGGGGTGTCACGAGATAAGTTTCGGCTTTTGAACATGACAATTGGGATATTTCCAAAAAAAATGCATAAAGCCTTTTATAAGTACTTATGTAAGAGTCACACTCACTATCAATCTGTGATTAAAATCTAATTTTTATCTTCCTTAATGTCCAACCGGTGTTAAGTGTTATCCCTTTTTTTCTAAAGTATGTTATATGAAAAATCAATAATGTCTTATCGGTTCTGATCGGTGCCAATAAGTGCTGGATGTTATCATTTTTCTACAGTATGTTACATGAAAATTCTCTATGAAAAATGTGATTAATCCACATATATGTCGCAAATTATACCATGGGATCGCCACACCATGCGCATAATGTGCCTGATTCCATCACATCACGCACATACATATTTTCTATTCCTTTTGCTTATTCTTTTTTTATTTATTTTTGTTTTCTACAATTCTCTTTTTCTTCTCCGTCAAATACTCTGGTCCGGCCACCTCAATTTGAGGTGGTTCCAGGTGGTATTTTTGGCTCAAATTTTTATGTATGTTCTTCATCAAGTCTAGTTCATCCATACCAAATTTGAGCAAAAATTTAAATCGGGAAGGTCGTCAAATAATTTTTCAAAGATAACTGTGTTTTATATATATATTCTGGAGCAGTTAACTTGCAAAAATCATTTGACGATCTTCCCGATTGATTTCTTTGCTCAAATTGAATATGGATGAACTAGACTTGATGAGGAACATACACAAAAAATGTGAGTCAAAAATACCACCGGAAACCACCACAAATTGAGGTGGCCGGACCAGGGTCCTGTCTAACCTGGTCGGACCAGGGTCCTGTCTGGCCTGGCCGGACCAGGGTCCTGGCCGGCCTGGCCGGACAGGAAGAGCACTCATATATATATATATATATATATATATATATATATATATATATATATATATATATATATATATATATATATATATATATATATATATATGTGTGTGTGTGTGTGTGTGTGTGTGTGTGTGTGTGTGTGTGCGCGCACACACACACACACACCGTTGTGCGAGGGGCAATGCCCAACGGTGGAAAATGGATAGGAAAAAGGTATTAAAAAACGTCGAATAGCAGGAGGAAACAAATAAAAGTTTTGCATTGTTCATGAGCAAAAGACAGTAGTGTAATATGCGCAAAGCAACAAATCGCATGGTTAGGTAATTGAAAGAAGTAGTGTAGCATGATTGTTTTAATGAGGAATTGGACAGGAAAACGTCAATTTCATGTGTATATTGGAGAGTATTCAAGTGTGACCATCTTGGTGAGTGCAGACAAGGCTTCCGATTTCGTATGTATGGTTGTGGCGAGGTGGTTCCTCAACACCGCACGCTGAAATGGTAAGGAGGCTAATCCTGCCACGACCATTTCTAAAAAATGCAAGGCTGTAGTTCGGGTCTATGTGGAAAGTAGACTGAATTTCTTGCAAGATATTAGGTTCGCCGCCCAGAAAATGGTCCTCGTCTGTGCCATGCAAAATCAACACGCGCCCTCTTTCATCACAACATGTATTCAGAAACGCTTCATAAGTTGCCTGCAGTCAATAATAAGACAGTTCAAAACAAGACAGAAAAGGTTGAGCCAAAGAAGATAATTTGAAATGGTAAACAGGAAAAAAAGAGGTTGTATTGATCCATATTTTGTGGGTACATAAATAAATGATGGGGTGCAAAACAATTTTCTGTACGACCAGTTTGCAATTGTAGATTGCACGTATACAAAGAAGTGATCTGTATCGGAAGTAAAACATAAAGAATCATACACATTTGTAAAGATGTGGTGTTAAAGGAATTTGGTACATGAAAAGATGTCATGAATATGTAGGAAGTATTGATATGCACTAATTAGTAGTGCATAAATGTTTGTTTTTATGTTTGATTTGTGTGGATTGTTTACCGTTTTAGTAATTTTAGAACATTTGTTTGATTTTAATTGTAATTGTATTTTAATCCCCATTTTAGGAAGTATTGATATGCACTAATTAGTAGTGCATAAATGTTTGTTTTTATGTTTGATTTGTGTGGATTGTTTACCGTTTTAGTAATTTTAGAACATTTGTTTGATTTTAAAGGTTCGGGGTCCCTCGAATTTTAATAAGCGATCGAGGCACACATTTTTGTAATAAAATTGTGGGATCCCTACTAAAAAATATGGTGTGACTCACAAGATTTCTACAGTCTACTACCCTCAAACCAATGGCCAAGCGGAAACCTCAAACAGGGAGTTGAAATCTATACTCCAGAAAACAGTGAACCCGAACCGCAAGGATTGGAGTATACGCATTGATGATGCGCTATGGGCATACCGAACTGCCTACAAAACCCCAATCGGTATGTGATAGAGTATATCTAGAGAGAAGTGAGAGCTAGAGAGAGAAGTGCAGTAATATGCTTCAATAGAATGATTTTGTAACCCCTATAACTACTCCCAAGGGGAGTATTTATAGAGAAAATTAGGGTTGGGCTCCCAAGCCTTGGGCTTGGGAGGCCCATTTACAACTGGACCGCTACTGGGCCGAATACAAAGCCACTAATGGGCTGTACAAATGAGTAAGTATGAAATCCGATTCTGGGGGGTCTTTGTGGCCGACGAGGGCGTGGCCGACGAGGGCACGGCCGACGAGGGCGTGGCCGACGAGGGCACGGCCGACGAGGGAACGGCCGACGAGGGCACGGCCGACGAGGGCACCCGGGTTCCTTGGGCTCAGGACCATAATCCGAGTTGGCTCCTTTTCGGCCGACGGGGGCGTCTTGGCCGACGAGGGCGCCACTCTGTTGTCTTGTGCTTTCTATTCTTCCGAGTATGTGGGTCCTGGGGCTCAGACCCATATACTCCATCAGGAGTCCCCCACTCTCTAAGCTGAGACGTAGACGAAGCGAAGGAGAGTAGATTCATGTGCTTTGCTGCCCTTGGCCGATGCGGGCCTCCCCGGGCCGTTAGCCGTTGCGGCGTTGGCGTTGTTTCCTCTTTGGTGATCCTGTTCTGTGCTTTGGCCGTTACCTGTTCTTCGCTGCGGGTGGGGAGGCCGTTGAAGTTGTTCCTTGCTTTGAGGACAATGGCGTCCTTTCCTTTGGGTGGCCGATGAGGGTGCTTGCGCGCTCCTTTTGGCCGTTGCTGGTTGGCCTTCGTGTTCTTGGCCGAAGGGCCCGTCAAGATTAATTGTTGGCGGAGGACGATGAGTGTCCTTGCCTCTAGTGGCTTGTTGGCCGTCGCTAATGACGTTATGGGCCTTTGGCCGATGAGGTTCTGTTGTGCTGTGTGGATGATGTGGCCATGTTTTGTGGTTACCTTGTTTATACTCTTTGTTTTGTTGAGGCCGGTGTAGTCCCCCAGTCCCCCACTGCTTCAGGCCGAGGAGTGCGAGGGGTGAAGGAGTTGCTTGAGTCCCTGGCCGAAGCGGCATCTCCGTGGTCCCCCTGAATCCAACTCTCATGGCGATTTTCTGGCCAAGGTAACCCTGTGGGAGAACCCTTGTGCGTAGGTCGCTTGTAGAGAGTTATCATCAAGGGTTATTACGAGGAGCCGAAGGCTGTGGGCTATTTGTTCCCTTAGTTCTGTGGACGTTACGTTCCTGGCCGTTGCCATCTTCTTATTGTTTGGCATTTGTGATATTGGCAAGCAAATGAGACGTTATGGGTGCTTGCTGGTACTTGTGAAGCCAGCGAGCGTGTAGGCCGTAGAGTCTGATTTGCCGGTGGGCCGTTGATATGGGTTGGTTCTGGCCCGTTGGTGACGTGGTGGCCTCCCAGTGGTGGCCGTTGATGTGGCCATTGGGAGAGTGCCACGTGTAGTGACCGTTGGTGGGGGGTCTATAAATACCCCTTCCCCTCCGACGAGGAATCACATTTGCATTCTGAATTTGTTGAAGTGCTGGCCGATTTTCTAGAGAGATAAACTCCCAAGCCTGTTCTTCGTGTTCTTCGTTGTTCGAGGTTAGTGTTCATCACGATCTTCCTCGCTTTTCATACTTTGCTTCCTAGGTAGTTGATCTAGTGTTAGGCGTTTGAACACCTTTAGATCTTAAGTTGTTCTCCTTAAGCCCGTAGTAGTAGTAATGAAGAGCTTGAACGAGGACTACTACCCCTACGACGACCAGCCCTCCACGAGGTCGCTTGACTACGAGGTGCTCGAGGAGTTTGAAGAGGAGATAGAGCGTTTGAGCCCCTACAAATCCGGAGAGCTGATGGACGAGGAAGGCGAGGACGAGGAGTCCGCCTCCTCTTCAGAGGGTGAGGACGTAGGGAGCAGCTAAACCGAAGAGGGTGAGGAGGCCGAAGAATGGGCCGGGCCTCTCCTACCTGGACCTTACCA